TAGAAGACCCTTGCACCCCTAACCCTTTAGAAAAAAAACCCCAGGGGTGTTCAAACTTGACAGCTTTAAGAATGTGGACTTCAACTCCCAGAATTCCTCCTCTCGCTCTTCATCTTGATGATGTGAGGACGGGCGGGGCGGGGGAGGGAGCTGGAACCGGTTCTAAACGGCACTGTAGATTTGTGGAACCTCTTCTATAGAAGAGGTTAGAACTGGCAGGAACCCACCCCTGCTTGGTACCCAACTGCTTTGAAACTCATTGAATTTGGTACTCAACACATTTTGACATGCATTTTCACCCTAATACTCATTGTTTGTTTGGTACTCGATGCACAAGCTAGACCTTGTTGGTTTCGGCTATCTTGTGACTCGCTACATTATTCTTTAAGGGAAAAATCTGTTTGATACTCATTGTTTTTAGTACTCATTGCGCCTCCCAGAACCAATTAAGGATGAGTAGCGAGGTACCACTGTATTAAGTCTTTTCTCCCATAATAAAGAAGAGATGGCTGTTAGATTATCTCCCTGCTTAAAGGAAAGTATGAGACCTCTCTTCTTCATGCAAGGAAAGTTTTAAAAAGAAATGGAAAAGAAAATGATATTTAAAAAGTAATAATCCCCCCCACTCCCACCCCACTTTGAAGTGGAAAAGTCTAAATATACTATCTAGTCATTTACTCATTTACTTCTATAGAATTTAAATAGCCGATAGCTGAACTGGGATTACCTCAAATTGCAGAGAGAATTTGTAATCAGAATCTTTGGCCATATCCTTGACGTAGCTGTCAAAATCATCCAGCTGGACAGGGCTTTTTAAAAAATGCATACAGAAAGAAGTAAAGAAAGTTATGTCATTCACAAAAGTCACCATCTGGTCATTGAATCAGAAAGCTGAAGGAGTAATTTATGTCTGTATCCAACTAACTTGGAACTGGATGAGAGAAACATCAATAAAATACGATATGTCAGATAGATATTACAGAAGTGAGGGCAGAATAGTCTTTTTATAAAAAAAAATATATTCCAGAGATAGCTACACAATTTCACTGTCCTCACTCACATGCATCTCTTCTCAGTTCATGTCTTATCTAGAATAAGATAGGATAACATAAATAAAAGCTAGCACTCCTTCCCACAAATAGCAGGTGAGCTGATAGTATTTGAATTAGCTCATGTCATACCACAAGAAGGGAAAGGCCCCTCCTCACCTGACTGAATTCTTCACCCCTAGGCATCTGTCACCAGCTACAGTCATATCAAAAGTGGGCCATCACTCCACGATGCAATTTGTGTCACAACAACTGATGAAAATCTTGTCTTTGCATGCAATGATACACCTGTCTATTGCACAATCTTGACTTTCCCTAAAGACATCTAAAGTATGTTTCTCATATCATAGAACAGGAAGTCTGAAATCCTTGTCCCCGATATTTTATTTTATACCTCAGCAATTGGCAGAAGGTAAAGGCACATTCACACATGTTAATTCTACTATCTGAAATACTGCAGTCCGGACCAGGTTTATTACCTCATTCAATATTAGGAAATTTTAATGTTTTGTTGACTATTTTCAGCAGGACTCAGTCCTCTAAAAAACTTCTTACAGGTGAGGATTCCATCCTGTTGTTCTAACCTCTTATTTCCTGAATACAGGTAGTCCTCAACGTACAACCTTAATAGAGGCAGGAATTATGGTTGTAAATTGTTATGATTGTAAATGAAGGCATCATGGGATCATTTTTTTTATTTTTTGTGGTGGCCATTAAGCAAATGTCATAGCTGTTGGGTGATCGCTATGGTCATTAAATAAATCCATTTTACGGGATTTTTTTTTTGCCATAAATGATGCCAGAAGAGATGTGGTGCCTCAGTGGCTAAGGCACTGAGCTTGTTGATCAGGAATGTCGGCAGTTCGGCAGTTCGAATCCATAGCGCCGTGTAATGGAGTGAGCTCCTGTTACTTGTCCCACCTTCTGTCAACCTAGCAGTTCGAACGCATATAAAAATGCAAGTAGAAAAACAGGAACCACCTTTGGTGGGAAGGTAACAGCATTCCGTGAGCCTTTGGCATTTTGACATGCTGGCCACAGGACCACAGAGACGTCTTTGGACAGCGCTGGCTCTTCGGCTTTGAAATGGAGATGAGCACCGCCCCCTAGAGTCAGGAATGACTAGCACATATGTTCGAGGGGAACTTTTACCTTTGCCTTTAAAGTAAATGTCAGAAACAGGCCAAAACATTGAAAACTGCAGTCATGTGACCACCAGAAATTACAAATGGTCATAAAGCTGTGCTGATTGCCAAGTGCCCAAGTTGTGATCATGTGACTGTACCAGAGGTGGGTTCCCACTGTTTGAACCGGTTCGGCCAAGTAGGTAGTAGCTAGGCCTGCCATGCCCCCGAATTGGTTCTCTCTGAGGCACCGTAGGCACTGCCATCTTGTTTTCTTTAACATACTGTGTATGCGCGTGCGGGGGGCACATCCCTGTATGAACCAGCAGTAGCAGCAGCCGGAACCCACCCCTGGTCTGTGGGATGTGTGTATGTATCTCTGTGTGTGTATACAGCCGTCATAACTTTGAAATCAGGTTGTCTTGGTGTGTGTGTGTGTGTGCATTATAACTTCAAATGATAATTAAACAAACAGTTGTATGTCAAGGACCACCTGTAATGAAGAAAAGTCAGCCCCTCTTCTTGTCTAATTTCTGTGCTCCAATTTGTAAAGATTGGAGTACACGTATGAGCTTCTTCTCCTTAAAGCAACCAAATCCCAAGGAACTTGTCTCTTATCAACAATTAATTACCGCTGTTTACCTGCTCTCATTAATGATCCAGTGAATAATTAGCAACCGTGTTGAGTGATGGAACAGTTTGATAACAGGAATGTTCCTGGGCTCTCCCACCCCCCACTCTTCATTTCTTTCACGCTTTTTGAGAATCAACCAAAGGCAAAACCCTTGGGGAATTGTTAACAAGAGATAATTGATTTTTCCCCAGTGCTTAATTTTCCATTTGTCAAGAACATTTTTTATCATGAAGGATCTGCCGTGAAAAGTAAAGGGAAACCTACAGTTCCTCATGATGGGATGTCATTTTTCAGCGATGCCTCCAGTTTTGGGGCAGTCCTTGAGCGAAGACAAGGCAGTGCAGGGTCCAAAATTGAAAGGACTCTTGCAGGGCTGATTATAGAAATTTTGGCAAATTATAAAGTCATAATATGGTGCCCTCTGTGGTGCGGCTCATCTTCTGATTTTGTTAGGGATTTTTAAAAAAACAAACCCCTGTCCTCTTCATTCTTTTATTCCTCAAGTTTTTGAGCTTTATGCTTATGATTTGAAAACTTTTCCTTCCCTTCCCTTGGACACCTCCACCCTAATATCAAACTATTTCTATAACCAAATGCATGGGGGGGCGGGAGGAACTGACGCATTAATTAAATAATTGATATTTATAAAATGAGCATACTTGGTCAGCTTTCTCTTCTTCAATCCATTTTTACTCCTGCAAGAAAAAAGACAAACACATTCCATAGTTATAGCACTTAGCAATAGCACTTAGGCTTACAGTATATACCACTTCACAGTGCTTCTACAGCCCTCTCTAAACGGTTTACGGAGTCAGCATATTGCCCCCAACAATCTGGGTCCTCATTTTACCCACCTCGGAAGGATGGAAAGCTGAGTCAACCCTGAGCCTGGTGAGATTCGATCTGCCAAACTGCTGGCAGCCGGTGATCAGCAGAAGTAGCCTGGAATACTGCTCTGTAACCACTGCACCATCGCGGCTCATCAAATGGTTGCCAATATTGCCCAAATCTCC